GCTAGGCAACCACACTTCCCACAGCATACACTCTCCCGCTAACATCCCTTCCATTTGAAGAGGGGGTACCTCCCACATACCACCCAGGTTACATAAACATTACATCTGACCATATTCTAACTTGAAGTACTCAGGAGTGAAAATGCGAGTTTCTAACTAGGATGACCATATGTCCCAGTTTGCCTGAGACAGTCCCAGATTTTGTAAGTCAGTCCTGGCCAGCTGATGAAGATTAAAATAAGTGTCCCAGGCACAGGGTGCATTTCAGCAGGGAGACGGATCAACGCGGTGCACCAGAAAAGCAGGTGGGCATGTACCACTGCTACCCACCTACCAGTTGCACCATGCCGCACTGTTGCTGTTCCATCTCCGCCTCCACCTTTGGCCTCTGCCTGCAGTGGCACAGCTGATTAGGGGGGGAGGGTGGGCAGTGTTCCAGATGGCCCAGATTTCCTTATGATCTCCCTATTTTAGCTTAGAGGGTCTGTTTGTTCTTTTAACAGAAACTTAAGTTAAAGAGAAATTGTTCATACCACCAGAAAACTTGAACACTGCATCACTGACCTGAGGATCAATCCAGCCTTAATACTACTCAGTATTTAGAAATGTAACCGCTTAGCTGCACCTGTCTGTACTTCACAGACACAGGGCAGTCCCTCCCTTCAACTGTGTCTTTACAGGAAAGGGAACAATCTCACTACCTGCTGCATCAAACTTTGATGTCTTGAGTGCCCTTATCTGCCAGTGCAGGATCATGCCATAAGTGAATGAATCAAATGCACTATTATGGAAGAAAAGTAGGAAAGGTTCCGGGGGAAGTGAAAGATATATTCCTACTCAAATCTCATACAGCAATAGCTGCAGAAAAAAGACTGTGAGCTTGGAGTCCCTGCAAACCTTTTCCAGGTCTTTTACTTGCTGTAATGTTAGGAGAGGCTTGGCACTAGGTGGACCCATCCCTAGTCTATTTAATCCATTTTGGTTTGTGTCCTGAAAATATTTCTGGAATTTATGAGACTGTGATTCTCATTAGCTATAATCAACTGATCTATAAGTGCATCTGTATGTTGCCCAAAGTCCCCGTAGCTATGCACTACATCACCATACGGTGCACTACAGTGATGTAGCAATCATGTGAGTCTACACATGATCAGCAGCTACTTCACTGTAGCAGTGCACTCCCCAATTTTAGCAAGCCACTACAGCAAAGTAGCAGTGAAATCTAACCATGCGCTGTGCACACAGCGCAGTACAGCCTGTTACTGCACTGTGCTTTAATACTTCCAAAAAGAAGTACTAAAACACGGCACTGTAGCAATGTTACCATACAGTGACATGTAGATGTGTCATATGTGAATTGGTGGCACAAATCTAACCCCATTTCATAGTGGTCACTGTATTTGGGGCATGCATGAAGGAATATTACCCCTTGGTCAAATTGGTATGGAGTGTGGGGGGGTTTGCCTTCCTCTGTAGCAGTAGCGGTTTCACCTTCTACCCAGAATCTCTTCAGCATATATCATTTCATAAAAGCAGGAGCTTGGCAACTGTGGTTCCCTTGCTTTACCTGTGGCAGATTAGGGTGTTAGACCTGTGTTGTGTCAAGCTTGATGGTAGTCTTCAGTAAAGTTTAAATTATGGATTATACAGGGTAGCAATGATCCCTGCTTCAGGCAGGGGTTGGACTAGATGACCTCTGAAGGTCTCTTCCAGCCCTGCTTCTCTATGATCTAAGAAAAGTAGGCACAAATTCTGTAAGTCAAGTTCATAACTAGCAACATTTTGCACTTACATATCCTCAGCCACTCAAGTATCAGAAAGCTCTTTATAAACATTAGCATATTAAGCAACACACAGTGGTTCTTACAGTTTTGGCACACATCACAGATATCTTGCTGTAACTAGTTTGATTTCTTACCTGAGCATGTAACACTGACATCATCACTGTGGGAGCATGTCATATTAGGAAGGAACAGCCTAGTACAATATGCAAGTTGAGACTCATTCCCCATGCACTGGAAATCTTCCTTCCAGATAAGATCACGTCCTTCTCCAAAGTAAGCTCCTCCAAGGGTGGCTATAGCCCAACCACACTGCAGTTCACTACAGGTGATGGTGGCAGCTTTCCTATCAAAATGTGAATCACAGACTGTCTTCCAGGTATTCATATGTTCTACTTCTACGCGTCCTGAGCAGGCACTAGGCCCTCCAACCAGTTGGAGTCCAACGAAACCTAGAGAGTCAATAAATCCACCAATGAGTGTCAATTACTCAGATACCTCATAATCTCCTTCCAAAGTACAGGGACTACTAAATGTCCCACCTTCCAGCTTGTCTGAGTATGGATTATAGCCTAAGGGTAACATTTAAAAAATGCCTGAAATTCTATACTCCATTTTCAAATCTCCTGTAGCGGTAGATTGTAGAAGGTATTTGGAGCCAGACCAATGCTTCCAGAGTCTGGGTCAGCCTCTTTTGCTCCCATGGCTATTTGCCCTTAACAGTGAATTGGATGATTTCTTACCTGAACAGGCCACTCCAGCATCCTCACCATGAACACAGTTATGCACACCCCATCCATCATGTTTGCACTCAGAGAGTGCAGATTCATTACCAAGGCAGGTAACGCTGTCCAACCAAATATTTCCAGTTCCTACTCCAAAATGAGCACCCCAAAGGACACTGATGGCAAATCCACATCCTAACTGCTTACAAACAACTTTAACATCTTCCATGTCCCAGAGATCATCACACACTGTCCCCCACTCATTCTCATGCTTAACTTCCACTCTGCCAAAACAGGGGTTACTTCCATTCATCAGCCTTATCTCTTCAGCACCTGCAAACACAGAGAGAGTAGGGTTACAAAGAGTGCTCGAGCCCCAGTGGGATTCACAGCATCCCTTTAAGAAATTCCTTCCATCCCACACCAACCTCAGCCCTTCCATGCTCCTACGTACCCACACACTGGAAAGCATGCCTAACCCTGGAAACAGGCCCCGGATCCACCCTTCCAAGCCCAGAAATTATCATCTAATTACATCTGATGGTGGCCTCCCAATCAAAACTCCACATTGCACCCTGTCTCTCCGCAATGATGTGCAAACTTGCCTACAGTCTCAGGTCCATCCGCTTCTTTTGGATAGATGCCACTGATCGCCCATGCCCCTTCCCTCTCCCCAAATTGACCTACTGCTGCAATTCTCCCCAGAGATAAATATTTGCTGCTGTGGTCCCTTACTGAGCCAAGCCACAACAGCAACTCTGGAGCCTTTCCCTTCACAACCTTGCCACACACCACATCTCTTAATTCATTTCACAGGGGGAAGGGACCCTAGAGCCACTGCAACCAGGTACAGCAGGGGAAAACAGCAGCAGTAGTAGGTGGGTTATGCAACCCCACAATTGCTTCTGAGCTGGCAGGGACAACTTGGGAGTTCCGTGAATCAGAGCAGCAGCCGGCAGCCGCCTGACTCACACCGGAGTGTTTAGATTTAGAGTTCGGCAGGCGGGTAGTGATGGATGGGGTGGAATTAACCAGGCACAGACACGTGTAGGTTACAGGAGTTTGTTTACTTACGTCGCCTAGATAGTGATGGACGACGCAGGCGAGCCTTTGTTCCGTTACCGCTTCGGTTACAGAGTCAAATATGCGCATATAACTTCGGTTACAGAGTCAAGGACACGCACGCAGTTCAGTTACGGCGAGATAATGACGGACGTGGCGCCGAAAACGGACGGTCGCGCTTGCAAGACTTTTTACGTCAATATTTTACGCTGACGGGGCGATTGATTAGGAATTGATCAATTTCCCAATTCTCTGGTGACAAGCACAGGTGTTTCCTGTGAAATCCCCAGAGCTCTCCGCCTTGGGCGGAAACCGTTAAACTATTTATAGGCAGAGGTGTTTGACAGAGATATCCAATCGTAAACTGTTATATGGAATCTTTAATTTTTGGCAGGTGGCATCTCTTTGTCTCCTCAAGTTACAAGGTAGTGGGTTAGGTTTTTCTACCTGTTACGTGTGTGTTACGTGTGAGGAGCTTACGTTTATCTTTGACCAATTATATATAGTTTCCCCCAGCATTTTATTTCAGCTGACCAATTATCTGTAGTACACCACCAGCGTTTTGTTTCAAGGAATTTCTTGGCAGGGAAGTCTTTTAACCCTTAATAGTCAAATGAAGATGATTTGAATGGTATCTCTTGCTCAGTGGCATGGGCACAAGTTAATTGGGTTGTGACAGGGAGGACCAGACAGGGTGGAGAAATGCACCCACTGCTATTGCTGTTGCTGCTGTTCTGAGCTACAGCCAAGCAGGAGCAACTCTGGATCCCCTGCCCCACCAGCAAGGCACAGCATCAGCAGCAGGTGGGCAAGGGAGAAGGGGAGAGGATGTGCTGCTGAGGATTGAAGGGAAGGGAAGGGATGCCCAGAATGGGTCACTGGGGAATGGGAGAAACTGGATTCTTACCTGATTACTATTTTAAAGTCCCCACTGCTGCTTTTGTGGTATGGTCCTAAAAGAGGGGCGGGGAGGGTGTCAATATCATTGTACCCCCCCTCTGAATCTGTCCCTGGCCTTTCCTCACAAGTTGTGCTTCCCAGGCTTTTAATTATTTTTGTTGCTTTCTGCTGCACTCTCTCCAATCTGTCCATGTTTTTTTCTGGCCCAAAACAGTACTGCAAGTGAGGACTCACCAGTGCTGAATAGAGCAGAAGAATCACTTCTCTTGATTTGCAAGTGTCAATCCTGTTAATACAACCCAATATGCTTTTGGATTTTTTGTTTGTTTGTTTTGCAACAAGAACATGTCGTTGACTCATATTCTGCTTCTGATCCATGTAACTCCCAAGTCACAGTCTACAAATACTGCAGCCTTGCCAGTCTTTCCCCAGTCTGTGTCTATGCATGACATTGTGAATCTTTGCATGTCATTAAAGATAGTGTCAAAAGTCTTATTCAAGTCAAGATATGTCACATCTATTCTTTACCATTATCTACTAAGACAGTTATCGTGTCAAAGAAAAAATTAGAGGGATTTAACATAACATTTACAGTGCCTATTTTATATCACTTTATTATTCTGCTGGCTTCTACTACACTTGTTATGCACTTCAGTGGAATTAAGCAGCTAAGAATGACCCTATTGGATGTCTCAAGGTCAGCTGGACAACCATGAGTGTTCAGCAGAAAAAAAATTAGCATTTAGGCTTCATTGATAGCCAATTGTGACCTGCACATCTGAGGGACAAGAGGCAAATCACTGGAGATGGGTGGAAGGTAGAGACCAAGAAGCTTTCTCAGTACTACAAGCACCCAGAACTCACGATGAAGTCAGGAAGGCCAAAGCATAATTGGAGTTGCAGATAGCAAAGGATGTGAAGGGTTACAAGAAGGGTTTCTACAAGTACATCAGTAATAAGAAGATCAGGGAAAGTGTGGATCCCTTAATGAATGGGGGAGGCCATTGCGGCATGTAGGGGGTGCGCTCAGGTGCACGTGCACTCCCTCAGATCAGCTGTGAACCCCTTGGAAGTGCGAGCTGTGAAACCAGAAGTGCCAGTGGAAGTGCTCAATGATCAGCTAATGGGGAACCCCTTTCCAACCCCCCCCCCCCCCCCCCCGGTTTGGCGGGGGGCTGGGGGCCCCCCCCCCAGTTGGTGATCAACCACAGGGGGGCTCCCCCCAGTTGGCAATAAGGGGCTGGGGGACTCCCCCACCCCAGTTGGTGATCTGGTGACCCCACAGACTTGTTCCCCCCAGATCCAGCTTCTCCTGGGTGCTAGCCCTGGGGCTGGCAGGGGACTTGGGGGATGGTCCCAATCCCCAAGTGACTGAAACAGCTTTCCCTGCCCCCTTCTGGCTAGGCTAACTGGGAGCAATTTGCTCCCAGTCAGTGTTTACATGTGTGCATAGACAGTGAAGGGGGAGGGGGGGAGTTAATTGGGTTAGCGTCCCCAAACAGAGAAGTGGTAGCGTCAAAGGCAGCCTGGCTACAGGCTTCTGGCAGCTGCATCAGGTATAAGGAAGGGAGTGGGACTGGGGCAGGAGTAGGCGCTGCACTGCCGGGGCAGGGCACGGGGGGAGCTGC